AGAAACCAGCCATGCTGGTACCCTGATAATAGAGAACCTAACCTCCACTGCTGTGAGAAAACATATTTCTGTTTTTTGATCCACTCAAGTCTAAGGTATTTTATTATAGTATCCTGAGCTAACATACCTTTATTGAAAATCACCAATTTCTTAACCAAAAATCCAGTGATTAATTTTTTTTTCTTGTTACTGATTCTTTTCTACTAGTAATGAACCTTTCTACCTTTTCTAAGTTAGTCCTTCTTGATATGCTGTTCTTAAAACTCTAGGACATGGCAGGTCCTGGATCTTCTTTTCTTTCCCTGGGATCCATCCTCAGCCTAGGCTCTTATCCTGGGCTCTTTCCCCCACACCTTTCACCTGCATGGCAGCAGCCCCAAGGCACCGACCCCTCCTGTCTGTGGTCTCAGCATTGGCACTTAACCTTTCTGCTTCCTCATCTGCAAAATCCCCATCATTTGGGGCCAGAGGTGATATCCAAAGTCTCTGTCCACTGTAACATAATCTGACTTCTAGGATTTCAGGCCTGCACCATGAGCTTGATCTTTCTCCTGATCTTTGAGCCCTCACTTCCACCTGTGTGCTGCATCTCAAAACCTCTATTTCCCAGCAAAACATGTAGTTCAGATAAGTTATTGCCTAAAAAGTAAAATAAATGAAATAAAAATAAAATCAAGAAAGATGAGATATATCGCTCTCTCCCTGTCTTCCTATGTGGTATATATCAAGCCTTTGTTCAATATTTGGAAGGTTTTATATATGGATCTTACATCTGATCTTGTTAAGACAAGGATGGGTTATTATATCCATTCAAAATCCCGTTTGTTCAGTTATTCGCTGAAAGATTCGTAGATGAGTCTGACCTTCCTCTGTGTAATATGGAAAAGTAAGAGGAAGTAGAATTGAAGGAAAAAGCAGGACTTACTCATTATTTATTTCCTGCAGTAGATTCTTTAAGAAAACTGAAAGGAATACATTTCCTCCCTACATTTAAAAATCTTTGTTTTTTAAAAGATTGCTAGCCATCTCAGGGCAAGTCTACCTTTAACTGTAAAAAAAAGAATGTGGTTCAACAAAAAAACACAAGGTCAGGTAGGCTGGGATAGCTGGCCACAATTGACTGACAGCTGCGAAGGCAGGAGGATGACCATCTGGGTCTTCTTCACAAATCTTTCCAATCCAGTGACAAAGCATGAATGTTCACCACCGAATCAAATGGATATGTGGATAGTGAATGATGCAATATTTTATCAAATACTGCTGACTCCACAGTGCTCCAGCTTGAAGTCTGGAAAGCATGATAAAAATTATACTTTCATTGACTTCCCTTTTCTGATTAGACCATTTTACCTTAGCCAATAATAACAAAGAATCTTTAAAATTAAAAAGCAAAAACAAATCTTTCCCTTAGGCCATGACATATAGTGTTGTTTCATTGGTACTAAATTTCGGAATTAGGCTGTGCTACTATTTGCATAATCTTGGGCAAATTACTTCACCTTATTTATAAAATACAGGTATTGATCCCAGCTTAGATGGTCTTTAAGGTCCTTTCCAGTCTGCCAATTTGTGACTTTTCTGCCCCTGCTGGTCATTGCATAGGCCTGTGTACAACCGAATGTACAATCCAAATGCCCTAAAGGAGGCATTTGTTCTGTTTTGTTGTTTAGGCTAGTAGCAAGCATTAATCATTGCAACTCAAAGCAACTTGGCAGCACTTCACAATGCTTCTAAGTGAATGAAATAATGTACATTTAGGATCCTGTGAGGTGATCCTTTATGTTCCAAAGACAAACACCTGAGAACTTTGTAACTTTATTATTATGAGACTACTACTACAAAGTATAATTATCAAAATTTTATCAGTTTATCAAAGCTTCTGTTTTTCTGGTTTAAGATGATCATTATTTGGACCTAACATTTTCCTCTCTTTCATCACCAGCATTAGCAGTTGGTGTTCTTTTGGGAGGCATTTCTTTTCCTGAGGAAATAAGTTACCACTTGACAGTAGTTACTCTATGTGCACCAAAAGGAAGTGGACCATAAAGTCATTTTGAGGTGATGACGCTGTGTCGTTAGCTAGACACCTTCGCCAGGTGGGTGACTCAGGGTTGTGCAGAGCAGCCTTGAAGGCACAACTCACAGTGTTGTCTCTGTAGAGTTGCCATGGCTCAGGAGAGTGTTGTTGACTTATTCCTTTGCTGTTGACGGACCAGTGCCCCTGAATGATGGAGAAGACCCCCAGTCAGCAGTCCGCTATGTAGACAGCAATCACAGATTGACTGTTGATTTGCAAAGGGCCCTGAGAGAGTTCGCTTTTGACATTTCCCAGGCCCAGGTTCCAACATCCTTTCAGGAATGATGCTGATGGGAGATGATAAGGATATGCAACTCCATGAATTTTTACCAAAGTCAGTGGGAGAAACAACAGGGCTGCACAGGCTTTCTAATATTTAGGCTCAGCTTAACCTTTTTATACCTTTTCTTTGCGGTACAAAACCTTCCCTGATCTACTCCCAGTGTAGCTTTCCACCTCTAATTACTATTTACTTTATTTGCATGTGTCATTTTTGTTCTAGAATACATATTATGATTACCGTGGGTGGAACATTAACCCGGGATCAGGTGCGTGTATCTCCTGCAGGGTCAAGGACACACACGTGCTGCACTTTCCTCCTCCTCATTTTATCTCTTTCCACACAACATCTTGGTAACATTTACTCCTTCCCCTGAATTCCTGGAGTTACCATGTTGTATTTTTATTTCTACACCTAACCCTGATTATTTGCTTCTTCCAGTACTGTTCTCCTTTTGATCAAAACTGCCCCGTCAACAAGTAGCCTGCGTGCCTCTCCAGCCTCCCATCTCCATCCTGTGCCCCATCCTGTGGTCTTAGCTCCCCTGAAACACTTGCTCCTCTTCAGGCTGCTCCATCCAGGACGTCTTCCCTGGTCACTACCCACCAGCAGCCCCACATGATCCTCCTGTGTCCACACACAGCCTCCTTCTTAGGTTGGAATTGGTCATGAACATACTTGACTCTTGGAAGACAGAATCCATCCAGTCTTCGCTTTCCTTTCCTTGTTTCGGTGCCCAGATATGTTGAATCCTTTGTTTTTCATGACACCAAAAACCTTGTGCCATAGATGACATTACTACTGCGGTATCATTCTCCTTCAGACTGTGTTCTGACCTCAGTAGGGAATATTTCTACACCCCTTCCCTATTCTCTCCTTTATAAAGTTCATCCTAGTAATCCCTAGAAGTAATTCAGTACAAAGCAGGAGATTTGGCAGAACTGTAGGTTTTGGAACCCGCCAAGCCAGGAGGGTTTAAGGTGGTTATTAAAGATTTGCAAATGCCATTTATAGCAGAGAAGCAGCAGCAGCAGCAGCATCACTCAGTTTCTTGGCTGTGAAACAGTCTCAGCCACGCTGAGGCTGATTACATTGGCCGTGCAACAGAGGTAATTTATTCATCATACACAGTCTCCCATTAACTAAAATCAGAATTTTAAGTCTTGACTGAAAGGAGAGCCAATGTGTCAGTGCACAATTACCCTCTAGACCAAAAAGGCCACTCTTGAGAGTATTTTTTAATTGTTTTCTTTCCTAAACCTAATTATTAGTGACTTTTGCAGATGTCTAATAATTAACTTATTCACAGAACATTAACCTATATTTTTTGCCTTCACCACTTCCATTCTAATTCATATTTTGAGTGGATAGGGTCTTTATATCTGGTTAAAGTCTTCCCAGTTTTCTGGGTGGCTTTTTTATTTTTTAAAAAAAAGCCTTATAAAGCAGAGGCTCAGCTGAATCCCTCCCTTGGGAAAATGTTGATTTCTTGAGCGTGCCAAGCACTGTGGAGAGTTTGTCACATTTCCCTTATAGATGCCTCTTTCCAGTTGCCTCTTCCCCAATCCCCAGTGATCACCACTCACCATCTTGGTCTACTCCAAACCCAAGACTGTAGACCTCCTGCCCGCTGGTTGTCAACAACTTAAAATGAATGATTAGAATGAATGCTGGGAAGATTTCTTCCTACCTTCTTCACAGACACCCTCCCCCTGAGGCTGACCTTCCCACCCGCTAAGATTTTCTCTTCTGGCTCACTTGCAAAATAGAGGCCTTTATGAGGGTTAATTTGGCATTCTGCACGCCTGTGTCCAGCGTGCATGTGGTGACGGTGGAGGTGTGGGGAAGGGCAGTGCGCATGCTTTGAAATATATACTACAATTCTAGGTTTTCTTAGCTTGCTAATAGCATAGTTCAGAGACCAAAGGTCGAGGGATCCATGAAGGACTGAGAAGAGGTGGGAGCGCGTGAGCAGATGACACATGACTGTGTTTAAATGTCATCTTCCTGTTAGCAAATGCAAACTGAAGGAAGTAGACCTTTGACTGGGATTCTTAGCCACTGTTTCCATTCTCCTCCTCACCCCATCCTCTTTCCCGCCCCCTGACTCTACTTTCTCTGGGGATAATAAGCCTGGTCTTTTCTAGCCATGCTGATCCACATACCTCTCACAGGGTCCAGTTTGATCTGCACATATGAGATGCTGGTTTCCTAGTAGCTCCAACCCCAGTACCTCCCTGCATCCTTTTCTAAGAAGAAAGCCCCCCAGTGGGACCGTCCAGGTGATGGGGGTGCCATTGCTGTTCAGACTCTTACTGTAGCCTCAGTGTTAGTCTTAGTCCTTCTTAACCTTAGAATTTGAGGTAATGAAGAAATGTGATTTCTTCAGGAAATCTTCGGAGGAGAGAAGTTTCTATAGGCTGCTAGGTGAATCTTGTTCAGAACATGGGTATGTGTGTGGGCACAGATGCAGCCTTTCAATTTCACGCACTGACTGTTTGGCCTGAAAGGAATCTTGGTTTGTGTGGCCTGGAACAGAGATGTCTTTTTTCTCTGAATGTCTTTTTCTTGTCCTTAAAGACATTCTCTAGGGATCTGTCCGACATCTTCTGTCAGTGGTGGTTGACTCTCCTTTTTTCTCAGGGAGGAAGATGAGTACTCTGAGCTGCGATCAGAACTCAGCCAGAGTCAACAGGAAGTCAACGAGGACTCTCGAAGCGTGGATCAGGACCAGACCTCTGTCTCTATCCCCGAAAACCAGTCCACCATGGTCACTGCCGACATGGGTGAGTCTGCCTGCCCTTGCTCAGAGTTTGGTTTCTGGATTGTAAAGGGAATTTTAGAAACATGAGGCAGCCTGAATTATAATTTAATTAATTATTCAAGGAGTTTGAGTGGATGAAGGGACATCTATTTCAGTCCCTTATGCAATACTTTGTTGGTTGAAATGGAACCGAAGAGCTGAATTAGATTTCTGCCCTGACATGATTGTGATTCAAACATATGTCACTCTGCTTAAAAATTCTGGAAGCTGGGAACCAGTTAAAAAGGCTATTGCTGTGTGTTCCAAGTTGTAGTGATATCTGAACTACTATGGTGGGAGTGGAAGGATTGAAACAGTAGTAACACATTGCAGGGGAAGAACCCAATAGGCTTAACAACTGTTGGGTAAGAAGGAGGAATCCAAAATTACTCCAACATGTTGATCCTAAGTGACTAAGAGACTGATCATATTCTTTAGTGAAGAAGTTTGGTTGAGAAATGACTTGGGAAATAGTCATATGATGTTTGAGGTTGTAGAGAAATATCCATGTGGAAATATCAGGTACAATGTATTGAACTTACTATTGGGTCTTGCAATTGTATGAAAAATAAAGTATTTTAAAAATGAAAGCGAATAGGGAAACAATAGAGCTTGTTTGTTGCATGTGCGTGGGTAGTAAATTGTCAAATGAAATGTTCTAACTGTGGGTTTAAACAATAGAGTGACAGTATTGTTTCTTGAAGCTTGTTTGTTGCATGTGCGTGGGTAGTAAATTGTCAAATGAAATGTTCTAACTGTGGGTTGCAGTCATAATGTTGCAAAACCACTGGTCTACTTGGAAATGCCTGCCTGGATGTTTGGAGAGAGACTGAGGTTGTGGATAGAGGCTCTGAAGTTATATGAGCTAAGGTGATCCCTGTGGTTGAAAGATATAGAATCAAAAGAAGGAGGAGCTCTATGTCTTAGGAAATGTTCCCATTAGGGGGAGAGACGGGAAAAGAACCAGAAGAATTAAGAGTAAGTATAGTGAGGTTTCACAGAACTTAAATTTAATTGGGGAGAGAGATTTTAATTAAACATTACACATTTATGTTTAATTATAAACCTATATAAATGCTGTAACATTATGGAACATAGCACCATGATAGTGTGCCAAGGTAATTTAATTCAGTCTAGGGTTCTGGGAAGGCTTCCTCTAAGAAGTGACATTTCAGTAGGACATTTCAGTGAGGTGGGGAATGCATTTGAAGAGGTGGAAGAAGATCATGGTGAATGGGGGGCACAGAGGTTGAGAGGGAGGCTGGAGAGGTAAGCAGGGCAGATCACACAGTCTTGTAGACCATGATGGAGAGTGACCCACTAGGAGCCACTGAAATATTTTAATAGTGGAGGAAGGGGCACAAGATGATCAGAGTTGCATTTGAATCCATCACTCTGCAGTGTGTATAGGCTAGCTAGAAAACCATTGCAAAAGTTTATCTGGGCAAAATTGTTGCTAGGATTAGGGTGGTGGTAATGAGATATAGAAAAGAAGATGGGTGTAGATGGGTGTAGAAAAGGTATAAAACTGGAAAGATTTGCTGAAGGGTTGGAAACAGGGTGAAGGTGAAGGGTGTGTGTGTGTGTGTGTGTGTGTGTCCAGGTGAAGGGTGTGTGTGTGTGTGTGTGCGCACGCGTGTGCGTGCGCGCACGCGTGCATGAATCCCATAAGAGTGTGGTTTGCACAGTAGATGAACTGTGGGGCCACTTACCTGTGTGCGCGCGCGTGCATGAATCCCATAAGAGTGTGGTTTGCACAGTAGATGAACTGTGGGGCCACTTACCAGTATGGGATAAGGGCCAGGTGGTTTTGCTTTGAATTTTGTTTTGCTTGGGTTGGGAAGAACATGGAGATCGTGTGTTTTGTTTGGACATGAGTTTGAGGTGTCTTGAGATAGCTACCTGAAAGAAGGCAGTGGGTATTCAGATGAGAAGCCAAGAGGCGAGAGGTCTGGGCTGAAGAACAGCAGTGGGAGATGCCAGGTTGTTCACAGATGGTAACTGAAGCAGTGGAAGTGATGCACAGACAGTGAGCCGTGGAGAGAGCCTGCGACTAAGCCTTGGGGGCCCCCAGAGCTCGAGACAGGGATGTGCCTCCTCAGAAAGCTTTCTCAGGAGCTCCAGTCTCTGTAAATGCCCCATTTGTTTCCTTCTTATATCACATTTAAATTTTAAATTATGTATTTGTATTTATTTGCTTGACCAACTCTCCCACTAAAACTCCATTAGGGAGAGCATACTTGTTTCATCTCTTAGTGTTATCTCCAGAGCCTGTCACCAGGCCTGGCACATGGCAGGTGTTCAAAGATACTTGTTGGAATGCATGAATGAAGCAATCAACCAATCGGCCAGAGATATAAGAAGAAAATGAGGACAGTGCTGTCCTGAAAGCCAGTGGGGCGGAGAAAGCTCCATTAAGGAAAAGTGGTCAGCAGTGTGAAGTGCTGCTGAGCCAGATAAGATGGTTTAGCTGCATCTAAGTCGCTGAGAGCTGTATGCTGATACCAGCGTAAGCCAGATGGAAATGTGTTGAGGAGGAGACACCTCCCCAGGCTCTAGTAGTTGTAACATAAAGCCCATGGTCTGGGTTCAAGTTAGTTTGGCTTCAGGCCAAAACTGCCTCCCTTAAACTAACCTAAACCCAGACCCCCGGCTTTATGTTACAACATATACAGTCCACTGCGACTTGGGCCAGAGTCCTACACGGCAAGTAGCAGCCAAGAAGTTCCCAACCACTGCAAAGGATCAGCCCTCAGCCCTACACTCATCCCTCTAATTGTTTCTCTCAAATTGTATTTTATGCAAGTAATAAGTGACCCATACTCCCAACAAAGTTTCATAATTAAGTAAGTTTGGGAAATGCAGAGATAAACCCACTTACATGGGCATTTTTCCTGGGGGACTTCTCGGAGCTCCTGACATGAGACAGCATGTTTAGCAGCAGCTTCCCCCAAAGGAGCCAGTATCTGCCTGTCCACAATACAGGGTATCTTTGCTTTCCTGAGTCATTCATCTCAAATCTTTTCTTTCCATCTTGTCCTTCATTTAAAAAAAATATGTGTTGATTGTAACCAGTGGTAGTATCTTTCCTGACAAGACTGAGCTCCTGGATGAGAGTGACCTCCTTTGCCCAGATGTTCTCTGCCCACACATAGAAGCCTTTATTCATTAATTCAACAAACGTACCCAGTGCTATGTGCTAGGTACTGGGGACATAAGTCATGGAAGGCCGCCGACCCCCTCGCCGGAGTCATGCAGCATCTCTCACTCTCTCACAGTCCTCTCTCCCCTTTCCCTGCTTTATTTTCCTTCATAGTTCTTAGCACAACCTGAGGATACATTGGGTTTGTATTTATTTACTAATGTGTTACTGGTATCTCTCCCACGCTAGAATGCAGGCTGCATGCAGGCAGGGGCTTTGGCTACCTTGTGTACCAGCCTAACAGTGCCGTGCGTAGGAGGCACTCAGATACTTGGAGTTCACAGTTCTTTCGAGGATAGGGAGAGGTCAATAGGAAAGACCCACAGTGGGGTCAGGACCATAAAAGAGGCTTCGGGGGAGCCCCTAATGATAACCTCAGGCAGGACATAGAAGTCACAGCTGAGCAGAAGTCGAAGGGCTAAGTGGGAGCAATACAGTGAAGAAAGGTGGGGCCAGGAGAGTGGTGGTCTGTGCAGAGGCAAATCTGCCAGGTCCCCAAGAGGACAGGCACTTGGGGACCACAAGGAGAGTTCATTAAGGCTGCAGCACAGAGTACAGTGTGCTTGTTAATTAGAGCTGACGGCCTGCCTCTTCTTACTCCTTTGCCATTTTCCAATAAAATTGTTTCAGTGGGGAGAAAAGCTTCCATATATAAACACTGTTATAGGAAATCATTAAAAAGCAGCCGTTTCATTATGGTTGCTGTATTTGCAAACCTGCATTAGCAACCCAGAGGTTTTCTTGAGCTGGATTTTATGCACAGAGTTTGCTGCTAAATTGTTTCAATGGGGAGAAAAGCTTCCATATATAAACACTGTTATAGGAAATCATTAAAAAGCAGCCATTTCATTATGGTTGCTGTATTTGCAAACCTGCATTAGCAACCCAGAGGTTTTCTTGAGCTGGAAAATTGTTTCAGTGGGGAGAAAAGCTTCCATATATAAACACTGTTATAGGAAATCATTAAAAAGCAGCCGTTTCATTATGGTTGCTGTATTTGCAAACCTGCATTAGCAACCCAGAGGTTTTCTTGAGCTGGATTTTATGCACAGAGTTTGCTGCAGTATATTTGCTGACCTTCAAAGATACCAGGAGGAAGTCCACCTGTTCACTTAGTCAAAAGGCATTTATCTCCTGTTTTCTAACCCCACCCGTCAGCCTGTCTGCCCCTTTAGTAAGCTGGCTCCTGGACACTCCTCTGGGCCTGGAGGAGTAAACCAGCAATTTAGAAAGTGCTTTGACTTACCTAAGCAGTCGAGTAAAGGAGAAAGGTCCCCAGTCTCTGTCACATTGCATCTTAAAATAAATTATATTACCTCCTTTCAAACCTTGTCACACAATTGTTTGAAAAATAAAGGTAATTAAATGGACAAAGCCAAGATGGGAATCATGTCTTAGAATTTTTATTTCCTCAATCTGTCAAAGAGTTGCAGATAAAAGAGAGACTGGATATAACAGCTTACATGCCTTGCTCACTTACTCTGTCAGGCATTTCCGTGTGTCCCTTATGTTTAATCCCCAACCTTGAAGGAGGCTCTGGAAGTCTCCTCACCTGTGAAATCAGGATGGCAAGGTTCAGAGAGGGTAAGTCACTTGCCCAAGGCTGCCCAGCTAAGAAGTTGTCTTCATTGTTGCTGCCCAGGTTTCTATAGATGCTTTATGTGTCCCTTATGTTTAATCCCCAACCTTGAAGGAGGCTCTGGAAGTCTCCTCACCTGTGAAATCAGGATAGCAAGGTTCAGAGAGGGTAAGTCACTTGCCCAAGGCTGCCCAGCTAAGAA